AGCAGTTCCAACATGGTTTCTTTGGCCAATTCGTGACCGATTGAAGTGAAGAGTGCGGTGACATCGAATGAAACCATCATTTCGTCGTCTTCTATTCTGACACTTCGCAGTTTGTTGAGGAATTGTTTAGCATTGTTGATGTTATATTTGGATCCGGCAACCAAATGTTTCAACCTCCTCCATATATCCTTCGCTAGTTTATATGATGGGGTTCCGGGGAGCGAGACGATTGGTCGTAATGGAACTCTATCTTTGTGTACTTTTGGTAGTCCATAAAACAGTGCAATGTTTGTATCATCAGCTTTCATTCTCTATCTCTCTGTGGCGGTGAGCTCGTTCTTTGTTTGTAGTTTCTTCAGCGTTGCGTTGATCTGGTTAACCAGTTTTGAACTTGGATCTTGATCGATCTGACGATATGTAGTTGTGTCTGATAGCAGTTCTTTGGCCTTGTTAAGATACTCTGGCTTGTCCATTATCACTGTCATGCGTCCTTTATCTGCTGGTAGGATTACAATGTTCTCGTCTTTCTGTAGACGTCTGAGTGCATCCTGTTCCTCTTTGGTTAGGGTCTGGGTGCGTTTATTCCGAGTAAGCACTGGGACAACGGTCTGCCGTATCTGTTGCTAGGACTCCTCTGACAATCCATTTGATTTCAATGCGTGTTCTAAGCTAACCAAGTAGCCTTTGGGGCAAGCATCTCTGACGTTGAAATTAAGCCCCTTAATCAAAACATCTACTTCAGTTGCAGTGAAGTGGCGGCGTGAAAGGTTTTTGATCCATACTTCACTGCTAGCGCAGTCATTTCTCTCAGTCAGTTTGTCTAACTTTGTGTTCAATGCAATCTTGCGTCGGTTCTTTGTGCTTTTGACTCGACGTGCAATTGCGGATTCCAGCGCTGTTCGTAGTTGTGGGTCAAGAGTACTGAGGCAATTGGTTCTATTGTCGGTTATGACTTTCTCGTATTTGTGTAGCCGGTTATGGGCATCTGTTATCATCAGTTTGACCATGCGTCTCCCGTATTATCGTGCTAAGTTCCAGGCGGCTGGATGGTTTAGCGTCGGTCTGTGGTTGGTACTTGCTGGCAGCACGTTCCTTCTCAGGCATTCATGAAGGAAGTAGAGCTGTTCGCGTGTACAAGCTTGTCGGCAGGCAAAGTTTTCCCAACGACGAGCTTGTTGTAGCGTTGTACGCCCGAATTGGTTGGCTATAGCAATGAAGACTGGTAGCTCAGGTTGTTCAGATGGCTGTTGAACTGTTCGCTGAGGTTGGCACTTTTGTTGCACTGAGGATGTCACCTCGATTGGTGACGAAACGTTTGCAACAAAATTGCCAAGCTCAGCGAACAGTTCAGCAGCCATAAAAACAGATATTCTCTTAGACGACAGTTTTTTCTTTCACGGAGCAACCGTCCGTCCAGCACGATGCTTCTTTGCAAATTTACTACGCTATTTTGTATTTTTCTCACTTTGCCTAGGACAAATCTAAATGTGTCTATCACTTGCGCGGAAACTCATAAAGATTTCAAAAGTGTAAATAAGCATAACACTAATCGCAGATAGGGCAGTAATTGAGTAAAACAATTGGTCTCTAAATGGTACCGTTGAAGGCGCGAGCGTTGGTAATTCCTTGAAAAAGGAACATATAGCACGATCAAATTTGAAATCCCGCGACATCTAACCGCTCTTGTGTAGCATCTGGGTACGCGGTAGATGGGCTGAGACATCTCATGCGCTCTGACCTGGTGGTTCGTATTGATTAGGTGTGCAGACACTGCGCTTACCACTTATCTAGTCACGCCGCTATACAGCCAAGCTGGACAGTGTTACTTGGCTCGCTCGGACAGCCTCCTGGTAGTTCTCCTGATATATCTTAAACGATAAGAAAATGAGAAAGAGTACACGTCGAAAGGAATACTTGCCCTTGGAATTCTGACCTGAAGTTGTTGGTTCAGAGTCGGTACTGAGTAGAAGCATAGCCGCAGGCTTGCTTCATAGTACGTTTCAGCGATGGCGTCCGAAAGCCTTCTAGACTTGGATTCAGCTATCCCATCCCCCTTGAATGGTAACGATAAGTAGATCGGTTTCTTTCCTGCTGAAACCATTTTTGCATTTGCTTCTCATAGCTCCATGTTTTCCCGAACGAACTTCTCTGGATAGTCATTTCTATCGAATGGGCTTCGTAAAAAGTTTAGCTCCTCCGGTACCATGTCCTCGCTACATATCTTCCCTGCTCACTCGGTTAGGCACCGAACAAGTTTTCGTTTCTGGCTCAGTGGAACGTTGTCTTTCTATGGACACTTGGCTGGATAGGCCCGACAGATCTTTGGCTAATCTGAAAGTCTAAGTACGACATTGAGTTGTTGCACTAAGATTCAAGGGTGAAGTTTATGTTTGCGTGGGTAGAGTTAAATTGTCTCACTAGTTCTTCCGACCAAAGATGACTATCTGAGATGCCGAATATATCGTCCACGTACCGTCTGTAGTAGACTAAGTTGACAATAATTCGGTTCAGATAGTAGTTCTCTAACTTATTCACAAATACGTTTGCTAACAGCGGTTCTAATGGAGCGCCCACTGCAACTCCGTCCTTCTGCTGTAGGTCTAACCGCCGAACAGGAATTGCATGTTCCTGGTACACATAAGAAGTCACTGTTTAAGTTGCTCGTTCCAAAGGCCGATATCAAAATTGTGCAATCGAACAGCACCGCATAGATAGTCTATCCTCTGTTCTAGCTCAATATTAGCGAAGAATAACACTACATCTAGAGAAAACATTTTCTTTCTGGTTAACTGCATATTGCTTATGGAGTCTACGAAACTGAATGTATTAATGAGGCTGTGTTTGGATAGAACTTTTCTTATGGGTTTTTGAAGTTAAGTGAGCCATTTCGCTGTTTTGCTATCTGAAAAATCACAAATGTCGAATATTGGCCTCCGTGGAAGTCCTTCTTTATGCATTTTCGGTAGGCCACAAAGACGTGGAGTCATTGTCCAGGAGGGACGCGTGTATTTGAACACCACTCAGTCAATCGCATTCTCTTATTTCAGGCAGTGTTTGTTAAGAACCTGAAGATATTTCCAGTCAATACTCGGGTACCACTTGGAAAGTCTGATCATTCGTTAGTCAAACTATGTGTCGTCTACAATAAGACAAACCACAAAGAAGTCACTCGCTGCAAGGAACGTAAAATTAAACGGCGACAAACCAATCCCCAGACATAGTACAAGTGAAAGAAATGGTTACCTCTACAAATTTCAGTTTGTTTTTTTTTCGATGCAGATGTCTCAACATAGTGTGCCCAGATGACAAGTTACCTGAACTTCTGTTTTCATCTCTGCTGTTCGATGGAAACTATTCTCATTCCTGCTGACCGGTTTTCCTCACCACTCCTCAAACAGCTGCGTCGACTTAAGGAGAGAGCCTTCAAAGTTAAAGACTGTGCCTCAGTAAAGTTTCTTTCTCTACGCATCAGAGAAGAAATTCATTGCCTCAATCCTGCCTACTTCCAGACAATTCTGGGAAACAATAATTGCTGTGAGATTTGGCAGATGATGAAACAATTTAGTGGAGTCGCCCGTCATAGACGTAGATTAATGGAATCGCAACCTCTGCTGCTCCAGCAATGACTCACACCCCAACTCGTCATCTGCACAGATTCTGTGGCCTACAGACTCATGGACAGTTGTCGATGTTGCAGCACTTCACATGAAGCTCACTCAGCTAAACTCACGCAAATCAAGCGGATCTGACCGGTTGTCTCCTTTCGTCCCTAAAGAGTGTGCAGATTCACTAGCCCAACCACTAGCTGATTTGTACACTGTATGCCTAAACCAAGGCAAGATCTCAGACTGTTGGAGAGCTGCTAGCATAACGCCAATACCGAACAAAGCGACAAGTAAATATCGATCTATTGCGTACACTTCGGTGGCTTTAGAGTTCTTCGAGAAATTCATTCTTGAAAAATTGCTAACCCATTCCTATATGAATGATGCACATCAATTTGCATACTGAACTTCGATATCGACACAAGACGCAGTGGCTTGTCAAGTTCACTTAGTGCTATGGTCGTTAGACAGCAAGAACAAAGTCACACGTGTATGCTTCCTTGACTAAACCAGCGCTCTCGATTTTGTTAACCGTGAAATCTTGTTGCAAGATCTCCTGGCTTCTGGTTTCCAACCACCCATAGCGTTCTTGCTATAGGATTATTTTGCCAAACGTATTCAGATAACCAGGTTCAACGGTAGGAGCTCCTTGCTTCTTACCACTACTTCCCGTGTTATTGATGCTGTACTACACATGAAGCAGTTTTAGCCGCCGTTTTTACTGGTTTTTTTCCATGTATTATACCGGTTTTCTTTACCGCTTCGATCGTGCTTGTGTTACAGCTGAAAATTCACCCTTCATGAGTGCATAAAAGCTAATTCTTGACTTGTTTACTGGCGGCGTCCGAAGCAATCACCACAAGACTTCATGATCCTCACTTATGTACACACAAGCAATTTGTCCAGGCACTCACTCTAGCCTGGCACCCTGACACATAGTGTGGACAACACCACACACAAACGCACACTTGATCGCCGGGGGGCCAATCACCTAGCTTGGTCACTCAGACCATCTGAGTTTGAACTTGTACCCTTATCTGATGTTAACGTTCATGTCATTTATTTGTGGTGCATTAGCCTGATGAAGAACTACTGAAAACCAGCTTGTGCGCTAACCTTTGTTTCATGTGAAGGATGCGAACAAAAGTGGTATACAAAGCCATGATAGTGCGACGCTAAAACTATCCGTAACCGAGAGTTTGACGACAGATCAGATGGTTGTATCTTGGACGCATGACGTGTAGGCGTCTGCCAGTGCGATTGTTAGATGCCGTTTTAAAGGACACCATCGAATAGTCAGTGGCAACGCGGCTAATCCGGAGGTTAGGTAGGAGACAGAGAGAGGAAGTTCAACAACCAGAACAAAAGGTTCTGTGAATAACCAACGCCACTCACAGAGTAATGAGTAGGAAGAGAAGGCTGAAAATGCAATATGTGATACAAGGAATTGAGGAAATCACCAAAGTAGCATACATAAGAGGGAAATGTTTTCGATAATTGAAGTGGGCGAATGAAGTGCAAGTTCGGTAGTAAGGACTGGACGCCATGCGAGATCTAAACTTCAGGGTTGATAAGGGAATGGAAAACATAAAAATTAAGTTATGCTAAAGTGTACTATATAGTGACTTGGAAGAAAGAAGCCGGTCGATGTTGCAATGTTTACCTTGGCCAGATTAATAGTAGCCCGGAAAGTAAAGACTTGTAAGAGGCTAAGTTGGTGGTGTGTAGTTAGCCACATATGTTTTTTAAAATTCCTGCGCTTAACACCCTACGAGTTCGAGTTCTGTTTCACCAGTTTTCAATGTTTGCTGGGATCGTGAGCATCGGAGACACGTGTGCAGCTCAAAGACAAAAAGCAAGGCGCCTGGGTAAGAAGCAATGAGAAAAAGCGAATGAGATAGCATGTGAAGGCGCGAAAGGATAACACCTAGCACTGACCATTTGATCGTGTTAACAGCAATCTCCACGCAGCTCAGTAGCATATTCAGACGTGTTCCACCTGTGATACCACCCTCAGATGGCCGGAGAATGAGTAAGCGTTTTAGGCCAAACCTGTAAGGAACAGGGATAACAAAAGATGTGAACAACGATCCAACAAAAATCGGGTAGACGCAATATGTATAAATGCCGTTAAACGTGTTCGTCGTAAATAAATAAATGGCACATTTCTCGATGGTGCGAAGCACAGTCCAACGAGGTGGTTTGATCAATGGAGTGCAAGGAACGGAAGAGCTCTGACCCGCCGTGAGCAAGCCTAGTGAGATCCTTCCCCGTGACCTAATAATACACTAGTACAGTCAAGCCGTTGAATTAGGGACATATCGCGGCATTGTCGAACTGCAGAAAAGCGGAATGCTTCTTCTATCTATGGGCATGACAATACAAGATGAGTTAAATTGTTTATGGTGCTTGGTGCACTGGTAGAAAATGACTTGTTCGTTTGCTAAAATCTGAGTGCCTTGACAACGAAATAACATCAAGACACGCAAAGTAAAGTACGCCAATAGTAATCGCATACCACACAGGATGACGTTCAGTCTGGAGGAAAGACATCTGGTGCATAGAGCAAACCTGGCAACCGATAATACGCCAAGACATAAGCGTCGCATACTATTTGACCAATCATTCTGGTACATACATATCAGTCGAGCATATCAGTCTTCACTGCATGGAATGCGCCCTGCCAATATACGCAACACACTACAATATGCCCCATGAAAATGGACCCCAATGGCGATGATACCGTGAAGATGAGTGAGGTAGCAAAGAGCCAGTAGCAAGATGTAGACGACAACTGCGGCATCCCCAGAAATTTTTGACATGACTGCTCGAATACTGAATTAATGGAAGGACTAGCTGGTATAATCAGGAGCACCAATCCTATCACGTTTCGGATGGGACCAACTCAAGATCAATCGGTACATCTCAACGTAGCAAGTGTTATACAGAAAAAATTATATTATTATCTATCCATCCAGATACGAACGAATTTAGGTAACAGACTAGTACCACAGAAAGACTATAACGCGTGCATTGGTGAATGAAGCTAAGCTGTGTGTAAAAGCAATTGGACTTAACGCTCGGTCAATAAACTGTTGGCTGAGCGTCACAACAAATGGGCAATGGCAAGAAAACAAAAAGGGAAGAAACTGCAGTCAGGGTAATAGACTTCCACAACAAATTCGCCATTGGGTACGACTCTGGGGGTGTCGATAGCCTATCCAAACAGGTGTACTCACTTTTCTTGGGCACTCCAACCTGGGAGTCTCAAGCGCGGCGGGGCAACCGTTGAACAGGCATGCAGAAAGCGTACCCGAGCCACCGAAGCGCATGCGACGAAAGTATGCAGCTCAGTGGTCGGGGAAGACTGTCTGAGTTGAAGATCCGACTTCGAACGTCATCATTGCAAATGTGATGCTGCCAACGTATATCAGCGATGATCAAAAGCAGACAGTCTTTGGACATTGCTCACTCGAACGGGCCAGGCCACACAGCTGTACAGCAGCACTGCTCGTACTGTAGCTTGGACCTTTCAGAGAAAGGATGAGATCACGTCGGCGCCAGAGATTGGCAAAAGCTACTCTGGCCTTGGTGATGCGTAAATTGATCTCATCCGTCAATCCGCTCACACTGACGCAAACCCCGAGGTAAACGAACTTATCGACCACTTCCAAAGAAAAGTCGGAGAGGGTGAGGGTAAGGGCAGTTTCTAACCAGTCCAGGAGAAAGGGGCAATGGTCATGCTAAACTGTGATACAGACATCTCCAACCAGCACAGCATGCCGTGAGCAGTCTGCGGAAAGTCACAGATTAAATCGATGTCGGCAACATACTGCAAGACACGGAGGAGATCACCCGGAAATAACTCGACGCCACCATGTCCACAGTTGCTTAGAGCACTCTTTGAGATGTTATCCATAGCAAAGTTGTACAAGAAGGGTGAGGCGGGGCAACCATCTCAGGCCACTAGTTAAACTAAAGAATGGGAGAAAGTCCGTCTTACACCCGCACTCGGCCCCAGGTTCGAGAATAAATGGCTTGAAGTATGCTAACATAATTCATGAACACTCCCCTTGTCAGGAGATAACTCCAGAGAGCAGCTTTGTCAACTGAGTTAAATGCTGCATGGATGTCCGGGAAGCAAACGATGGTAAGCCGGCTGAAAGCTTGATGGTGCTCGAGCGTCCAACGGATCGTAAAGGTGATCAATACAGTCCCCACCTGGGCGAAACTGTTTGTTCTTCACGTATGTGTTGTTCACGTACTCGACAGAACCTCCGTAAAAGCACTGAGGCTAGTACTATGGAAACAACGCATGGCAGACTAATTCCTGGGTAGTTTATGCAATATATTCGGTCAATCCTTTCGAAGACTGGCATGATGTTCGCTAAGCCCGAATCGGATGAGATGATTTCTGCAGCCCAAGTCTCTTGGAGGGTGGTTAATTCAAAAAGTATATACAGGCCCCCATCCTTAAAAAGAGCCGGAGGTAAGTTGTTGGGACGGGGAGATTTGTGGCGATTCTGAAGATGAAGCTCATAGAAAAACTCAGCCTCAGCTGGTGGAGATGTGCTTACATACCAAGAAACATTGTGGATGTGAAAATGGCAACTCGAGGGCAATAGTGACCAGCTGACTGCTGTTCAAAATGCTCTGCGTAACGTATAAATCGGCGCTAGCGATTGTGAATTGGTTCACTGCCGGTTTAACATACTTCGCCTACAGTTGGTATTTTGCCAACCGTAGACCGAATAAGAGAGAAGAGTCAGCGGAAGTTCCCTGAGGATGCAGCAGGTTTGTTAGCGCCTCTGCATGTCCCACCTCGGTGATACGCTGTGTCCACCAGGCTTCGCGGTCCTTCATGAGGAGCTGTTTGAGCTCGGTGTTGGGAGCGCTGAGCAGCAGGAATTGTCCGGCGTTCTTCCATCGGTTGAAGGGATCCAGCGGAAACTCATCGGTTAATGAAACCGCAGATGACGTCGGCGGACTTGTGTATGGCACGCTGGATAGGTGCTTAATGCTCCTCAACACACAGGAGTGGAGGACTCTTCAGATTAAAAGCGAGCAAGTTCATAAAGGCAGAGAATATTTGGAGCGACAAGTTTGGCTATGTTAAGCCATTTCCGATGATGCTGTTGGGTGTAAATAAACGGAGGGCGATGGTAGGACACACAAGTGTGTGAACAGAGGTGAAATAAGTAGTCTAATTGATTTACAGTCCGTTACAACTGATGGTGATGCAGTCAAACTGTGTCCACGGCTGTCCAGGCGAAGGTCGTAGTTGACGCGCTGACGCCAGGAACGCCGAAAGTTTGTGTTCGAAAGAAATAGACCGTGATCAGCACAAAGCTGTAGAATGCATTCTGCGTTATCCGTCCTGCGAGTACCGTAACAATGCAGACCAGCGAGGCCGCATCCGTCAACATCGAGTCCACCAAACTGTGCGTATAGGTCCCCAGCGAGTACTACAATATCCATGCGCCGTTCCTTATGTGGAGGTCAGAGAGTAAATGGGTAGAACCCATCTTTAGCTGAGTCCGGGCTCGAATCCGTGTGAGTGTACGCCGCTACGACAATCAAACAGCGTTCGGTAGCCTGGCAGATGAGCAGAGCTTTCTAGCCGAATCACACAGAGTCGGCTATTAACTGGGATCTAATCAAGCAGCGCAGCTTCTGCGCGCGAGCTTAATGCAATTCCCACACCGGCCAAGCCTGCGGCTGAAAACCGTATGAGACGTATGGACGTTTTATACAATGGCAGAAAGTAAAGGTTAGTTACTTATTACTAATGGTGAAAAGCCGATCACGAAAATCCATACGGATGCTTTGACCGAATAACCGAACAAGTTATCCTAGGCAACTGAGAGATGCGGTTTCTTTTATTCAATTGCTGTCGGAGCCAATTCAGTGTAGTGAGCCAATCCGTCATCTTTAGTTATAACGGGAAGCAGAAAACCAAGATTACCAGCAACTGGTCAAGAAATCTGGCCGATTACAATTCGAACTTAAGCGGAGATTGCAGTAAATGAGCAAGGAACTCAGAGATAGAGGGTCGGCTGAAGACCCTCGGAAAATACCTTGCTCGAAGGGCCAGAAGACGTTATTCGCTTTGAGTGAGGGCGCGAATGTTCTCATTTGAACTTAAAGTGATAGGTAGTTCCCCAATCGGCAGTGGAGCGCCAAAAGTGCCTTCTTGTGTGCTACTGGCTGCTCTGAACCCTTCGCAGTTCACGAGCTGTCTATGTATACTAGGCTAACGAGATCATACGACACCCGATGACCCGTCCAGTTGGATTGGGGCTGAGTGCTATCAGGGATGATCCTGCTGGCTTCTAACAGGCTCAGCCTGTAGTCTATGATGTGGCGACTGGTAATGATCTAAGTTTGAGTTTCCTTACCTGTGTGGTAATATAAATGGTATCCCACCAAAACACATCGATATCAGAGCAGATAGGTACCAGCCGGATATGCAACATGCAAGGCTGTCAGAGATGCCGACAGTTGGATATTAGATTTTCGCCCGGGAGAACGGCTGTTGCAATCCACGACATCTGTTAAACTCCGACTGCACGCACTTGCACGTAGCTCCTCCCCACCTCTCTTCGCCGTCGTACTCACGAACACACCGCAATCGCGATCCGGAAACACATCTCCGACTCGGCTTGTATTATTGTTATCCATCCTTTTGCACGCATCTGCTTAGCCAGTGCTCGCTCCTTACCCAGCGTAAATAATCCACACAATTCCATGCTGATACGCAATGTTATATGAAAGTCTATGTGACTACACGACAACTGTGGTGTGTGTTTTGTGTGCACGATAGCATTTCCTGTAAAAACTCGGTTGCTATTGCACTGAGGGGATGTTGTTAAGGTTCGTCCTAACCGCTTCCTGATATTCATTTGAATACACCCGTAAGTTACTTCCGGCTTTTTTTCCATTTCGTCCGGGAGTTCTACGTGCTGGTCAAGGTCCAAAGAGAATTCGGTGCGTACACAAAGTATTTTGATGTTTATCAAACTAATGGTCAGAGCAGCTCCCCGGTCGCCGAT